CTCAATAAAGCTATATTCCCTTCTCCCTGGAGCAACATCTTAAACACCAATTTGCAGGAAAGTAGCTGGATTGTGGCAAATTTGGAAAAGCCTCAGTGTGAAGGCATTAAAGATGCTACCATGCTTTTAATATTTACCTTTCTGCAGGAAGCTCTCCTGCACCATCGCTGCACTTTAACGTCTATTGGATGTTTTATTCATAATGAGGAGAGTTCCTGCAAACCAACCATATCCGGCCTGTTTTTTATTCTTTGACATTCTCTTTATTCCATATAAAGGCACACATTTTACATGCATTCCTTTAAGTTTTTATTATGAAATGAGGAGTTTTTGAGGAGTTTTGTTTTGTGGAGCTAAAAGCAGCAAAAACTGTCTTTTATCACAAGTATTTCTACAATATGCTCACCCAGCCAGAGAAAGCATTGAAAACGACGGGATTTCTTAGGCGTCTTAGAAAAAATGACTTTAAACTGTAAGGAACTGTGACTAAAACATTTTAAAAGATTTGAAAGTAGTGATGTTTTTCCCAGGAATGTATTTCTAATGGCACTTAAGAGATTAAAAGTTGGAATCAGATCTTAGTAACAACCAGAGTAATTCACACACATACAATGGTATTAGAGTATCTATAAAACAAAATATGTAGTGAAGTATTAATTACACAAAGAAGCACCAAAATATATTAAAATGAACAAAATAGTGTAAATCTGTCAATATTTAGAATAAAACCAAGATATTAGATGTTTAATACTAAACAGCGGTCTATAGTAAACATACTGACAGCATTTAATACAGACAGAATTTAAGCTCCTGAATGTTTTAATGGGGACATAATTATGTTAAAGTGAAAAAAATACTAGACAATCAAGCTACTTGATCGGTTTGAAAACTACTGAAGATGAGATTGATCAAAGGAGTCACAGAGAGCTTTCAGGATGGAGGATCAAATCAAAAGCACAACTGGGCAACGTAGTATCTCCATACAGGAGACATGTTTAAGAGGTCATTATCAACAAAGACCCTTTTACTAAATCATGGAAACATTTGAGCAAACTGTTCAATGATGCCCCCCCTTTCTAATTTCCATTTAATTCCATACCATTTAGGTAAATTTTTCTCTATGAGTAAATTTATCGGGTAGTTACAAAAATCAGGTGTCCCTTTAATGTTGGTAGCGCCATTAGAATAGTATTTCCTGAGAAAAACATTACTGTGTTTAATCACCATGGTGGTTTCAAGTAAGGAAAGGTTTATCTGGGTTCCCTTACTGCATTAACGAGCCTTTAGTACTGCTGCTGCATGGTCTAAACTTTAGTCTGTTTCTGCCATCTTTTATTAGCCTGACGTAGTCCGACTCAATTCTAGTCAGAATATGAGTCTGATACTGCTCCATAGAGCTGTGATTATGGGGCGTGTTTCGAACGAACCAGGAAAAAAATGCCTCTGCACTCAATTGGATAGACCTACAACCAATAAGAGCAACGGAGTGCGTGACGTATTTTAAGCAATGCATAGTTGTTGTCAACAAAAATGAAGATGAAAATGAAATGAAAATAAGAAGATGAGCCTTGATCGTGTTTCTCTGTTCCTCTTTTAAAAATTAATTTGCTGTCAATATCTTCTAGAACAGACCTAATAGCAGAATCTACTCACCTCAACTCTCCAGCGGCAGCCATTGTTGTTGTCACCCAAGCGCGCTTTGGTCACGTGGTTGATTACGTTACTGTTGATCATCTGTCCATCATCGTATAAAGCCCGCCCTGACAATTTGATTGGATCGCCAGAGGGTGGGCGATCATACTCGCGCTACTATGGAGCAGAGCCAGACCGAACTTCCCATCCTCAAACCTTGTGGGTGGGACTAAGGTCGGAATGGCACCCAGGCTAATCTTTTATAGGTAAGATATTGACATGTTCCTTGCTATAAACTCCCATAAAAAAATTTGAAATATCCCTTTAAATTATAACAGAAGATGACTGTTCTCCTCGCTGCTATGCAGGATAAGGATCACATTTTAAAAAAGTTCTCCATCGTTCCTTTGTAGTTTTTCAAATTAAGTTTAAATACTCCACTCCTGTTTTAATGAAATGTAAACGCGATTATGAAACTCCAATAAACAATATGTAGGGATGCAAGGTTGGTTAGTTATTCTAGTTTGATAAAGGGTTCGTTTTGCATTTCCTATCACCTGATGGTGCCCACCCTCAACAGTCGGAGGGCTAGAGGCCTTGTCCAGTCCATTATGGGGCAACAGAGAGACACGCGGGACAGACTAACCAAGCACACACTCACACCTAAGGGCTGTTTGGAGAGGAAGCCAGAAGACCGAGAGAGAACCCACACATGCAAGGAGAGAACGTGCAAACTCCAAACAGAGTTCCCTGCTCAAGATTCAAACCAGAGACCTTCTTTTGAAAGAATCAATTATTCTAAAAAAACAACCTGAATCAAAATAAGATCTAGAAACAGATTAAAAACAATGCTCAAGAAAAAAACACTCACAATTTTAGCTTTTCTATGGTATTTTTTCCCCACTTTTCACAAAAACACTCAACTACACTAAAAATAAAAAACAATGCGTTAAGATTTCAGTAGAATCAGACCAAAGGGTTTGCTTGCAGGGCGGAAATGGAATTAGGATGGAAACATGATAAATTAATGGTATGAACAAACTATATAGGTCAACTGAGTCCACCTGGAGACGGCCTGTGGTGTTTTTACAAAGGTATCTTATGGTTACGCTGTGTGCCCATATGGATCAGTTGGGAGACCATTTATTTACGGGGGAAAAAATCAAAACGACTAAGTTTTCACGACTAGTCTAGTAGATTTATGACAAGATTAAAGAGCCATAAAACACACAAGACTTAGAGGATAATATGTATGCAGGATTTTCAATCAGTGTAAAAACCAGCGTCTTATATTGTGGAATTTTAGACTTGGTAAGAAATATGGTAATATCTGAGAGACAGAAGTCTGCAGGTGATCCTGTACAGCAGTGAGGGTTATAAACATCGTACACAAAAGGTTATGACACATTATTTTTGGTGCTGCGTTTGTGGAAGCGTGGATGCAGGACCAGAGTTTTTATAACGACTTAAAGGTAAAGTTATTTCCTCCAACAGCTCTTTTGAGACGGATGTAACAGAGTCTGAGCTGAAATCGGTGAGAAATCCTGTCGGTTGAAGCCGGTCAATCCCAAACGCAGCGGAAGTCTCTTTGACACAGCGCCTGGTGTATGGTTACTATACAGACAAGGCTCTCTGCGCTTCTCAGCTGCCCGTGCGAAGCAGGCAGAGCGGCTCCATTCATGAGCACGACAGCCTGAGGGCCTGCGGTAACCTGAGCGTCCGGCCCAGACCTGGGCTACCTTCGGAGAAGTTTCGTCTTTCCTGCGGAGCGGCTCCACAGGGCAGGAACCGTGTGCTCTGTTTTACCCCAAACAGCATTTCTGCATCTGCTGGAGGTTATCCCAGGGTACCCAGATATGGCAAACCATTTGATCTGGGTAACCAGGAAAACTGAGCAACAATATGTTCTTGTGCACTAAACTAAGCAAAGTATGTTTAACTCTAAATCTGCTCAGCTTATTTTAGACAAACAGAGCTTTCCACGGAGTGGCATACTTCTAAAATGGAAAAGAAATGTAATTCATGAATTATTTATCAGATATAAAAGCTTCCGCTGTGTATACAAAAACAAAAACCTTAAAAGCTTGTGTAAAATGCTTGTTTAAGCTCCATTCGGACTGACTGCAGTCCCAGCTGCAGGACGAAGTTCACTGTTGGCTTTAAGAGGCAACATTTCAACTTCTTCTGTTTTCAAATATTTTATTCTCAGATAAGTTATCAGATATTTATAAACTGATGACTGCAACAGAACAAAGGGCAATACAATAACAATTAACTCTATATGATATATCTATATATTATCTCTACCTATAATTTTATAATATTATTATTTTATATTTTTAATCAACAATTGTTTTGCATTTGTGCATTTATATAATAACCTCTGCAAAGTGCAGCAGTGTGAGGTTTCTAACTTTTAGCCTTGGATCTAATCTGTTTTAGATAATAGAATCTGTGCATTTATCTAGTTTATTTTATAAAAGTTTTCTTTTAATAGCCTTTTTGAAAGTAAACTGGATAAGTTTATCGTTTCAAAAATACAAATAAAGCTGCAAGTCTTTGTTTTAAACACCCTAAAGTCTGAAGCTGCTGTCCTAAAGATCATCTCAATATTGCAGACGTAAATAATTTATTTATTCTGATGTGAGATTGAACTACATCATTAAATGCTTGTTATCTGATCCATGGGGGATTTATTTATTTATTACTTTAAACTAAATATTTGGCTCCAGGAGGAAATAACCAATGCACTTTTGGTTTTTGTAATAAAAACAAAAATAAACAAAGTAAGAAAATATAAACTGGGATTTGTTGTTTCATTTTAATTAATAAATGTATCTGTTTTGATTGAATTGTACCTTTATAGGAGTGTTTCTTTTGATAAAAAGTCTTACAACTTCTATATTATTTTTTTCCTCATCATTTGTTACTTTTTTTGATTGAAACCAGAACAATTATAAAAAAAATGAAACATCCGTGTCAATAATATCTTGTGAGCTATAACTGTGCCACTGTTTGATGTCTGAGCAAAACATTTAGTTGTAAATAGTCTTTTTAATCGCTCTGATGTAATTTTCAAATCTTCTGTAACTTGGTAGTTTTCCATTAGCTGTAAAAGCCAGAATTAAAGTTAATACTTTTGATAAAATCACTCTGAATGTAATGAATCTGTAGAATCTATCTTCACTACTGGAATAAATAAGCTTCAGGATGATATTTAAATAGATTGAATATATAAGCAAAAATTCCCCCATGGTTCAAATACCTGCAGATGAATCTACTGTGAACACATCTTACAGAAAAATAAAAAAGCCTGTTTAGGAAGCCAAGTGTCAGAAAGTAGTTTTAAAGCTATTTAAGGTCAGAGCTTCAATGTGCAACTCTTTTTGTTTTTTGTTTTAACAAAATATCTCCACTTACATTCAGCACTGAGAAACCTTTACTAAATTAAAGATTAGTCTCTGTTAGATTTTTAATTTCTCATCCAAAGCTACAGAGCCCTTTCTCAGAAATCAGAGGAGCTGCAGCGGTTTTTCACTTTGGGCACCACAAGAATCTCGTCCCCGTCTTGGATGCTGTAGGAGTGAAGGGCCCGGAAGCTGCACTTCATCTCCTCGGGTCCGAACACTGAACTCATCTCTTTGTCGATGTGGAACAGCCTGATCCCGTTTGTTGGCAGCTGCAGCAGACCTTTAAGCTGCTTCTTTAGGTCACCCACCGTCTGCTCCAAGCGGAGACTGACTCGCTCCACCCGGTCCCCCAAGCGGACATCCACCGAGGTGCAGCGGGGACTCAGGTCCACCTCTACCAGAGGGGCCAAATTACCATATTTTGACACAAGGATGTGATACCTGCAACAGAACAGTGAGCAGGAGGGGGGAAGGTTAGTAAGTGCCTAAAAGAAAAAAAACTAAGTTTCAAGATTCATGCATGAAAGCATTTCTCTTACAAAAAAAGAAGCTTTAAAAATCACACAGGGCTTCCTCTTTCTAAGAATATGTATCCATGCATTAAATAACATTCAGCAGTTGGGTTTCTGTTGTCTTGTCAGACCAAAGCCCTCAGTTCCAGTTAAAGTTCTAGTATATTCACAGGAATCTTGCAGTCTAATAGGCACTAAATGGTTATCAATCAGTATTTTCAATTTTTATGACTTCCATAATTATGAGCTATAAATACATTTGCAGATTAATCCAAGATCAATATTTGGAAAAAAAACTGTTTTTTATCAAGTTCTGAGGCAACTTCCTTTATTTGAAAAGGGGCTAGAGGCTACTGTGTTTTTGTGTCTTTAAATATTCTAACCCCAGTTAAGAGGAAGTCTTTTTAATAAAGTTCCTAGAAACCCTGATCCATTTAAAAGCAAAAATTAACTGGAGAAAAATGCTTTGGTTCTTTTTATTTCTAGCATGATGGTTGCCAACAAATATTTATCATTATTATCTTAATATCTTTAATATATATAATTTTTACCTCCGTGTTTATGGCTTAGAACTTCATCTTTATTTAACAATTGTTTTATGTTTGCAAAGCTAATAAGTAGGGCTACAACTAACGATTATTTCGCAAATCCATTAATCTGTCGATAATTTAAAAAAAAAACTTTTTTTGGACAGCAAAAGTTTTTTTAAAGCAGAATTTTTACCAAATTAAACCAGGTAAAACTAGAACTTTTCCACTTGAAGTGTTCTGGATGGTTCTGGATTAAAGTCTTTTTTACTGAAAGAATTTTGTCAAATTTAAATCTGAACATTTCTGAGCTGTTTAGAGTGAGACCATGCTACTGCAATAAAAGCTGAATTTATTTCAAGTTTTTATTTTTACTGAAGGCAAACTGATATGTTGGCTGGCAGATATTATGGGTTTTTCTTGTATTGGTATCAACCAATACCTGCAGCCTTTTCTCTGATTCTGCATCTGTGCCTTGTTCAATGTATTATTAACATGTTTTCTTTTATTTGTTAATACATTTTCCATATTTTAAATGAAACTTGTCACATTTGTTATAAATTTGGTGTTATCATGTAAATGGAAGAGAAGAAAGCAATATAAGCCTAAAGAATCGGCCTCTTAAAAATCGGCAGCACATATCAGGGATCGGTTAGACTGATTGTAAATTTGTAATCAGCTTTATCAGCCTTAAAGTCGTAGGGAAACGGCTGTTATAACCGAGTGGTGCCCGACGTTACACGAGTGAACAAAGTGTATGTGATTGGTTTATCAAGGGGGCGGGATTGTTGTGGCGGAAGGTCCGCAAGCAAGTTTGGTTGCACCAGGTGACAAGATATAATAAACTAGATTGAACTAATGAAGTGACGCCTGAGATTTATTCTAACTTTGTAAACATTTGAGAATTTTCTTTTATTTTTCTATTTTCTGTTTGGTCGATTAACATGGAATATTGACTTTGCATGTATAAAAATGTTTTTCAATTCACGTATTTCATCTTTAATGATTTTTAGTTTTAATTGATCTCAGGTTGTTTTTTGGTAGCAGATAAAAGGAAATCTACTTCTGCTGAAGGAGCAAAAAAAAATACCCCAAAAACCCCAGAACCACCGACCTCTCGCTTGCCGTGAGAAAGCACTCAGCCGTCTCTGGGGAACCAAACCTTGAGATAAAGACCCGGGAACGATTAAATAAAATCCAGGAGAAAAGGGCCGTGCTTTCAAAGGGACTGTAACAGCTGGTCCAATCAAGCCAATTTCACTTCCCCACTCAAAACTTTTCCACAAAGCCAAACCCCCTGACCTGAGAGCTCTGGCCAGAACACATGGGCCACTGTGGGAACCCTCCTCTGAGGCTGCAGTAGACACAAAGTGCTCCTTTCTAACAGAAGTCATTTAACTACAACAAGACACTTAATTTAAGGTAGGAGGCACGGTGAGAGACTGCTGCAGGTAATAACATGTCAGCTTTTCAACCTTTCGACTAGAATGGGAAGGAAATCCTGAGGAGAAGGATCTGGTTTTGGAGACTCTGTCCAGCTCAGATTGGTGCCGAGCTCTCAATTTTCGTTACACTTGGATGGATCCAACATCCAGCTTGAAACTCAGACTCTGTCTTCTATTCACGCAGTTATTTTCCCAACCAACAAAGTCTTCCTGTGCTGGCAGCGCATCTATCTATAAACTAACATATACTGATTAAATCCTATAAGGCTATATTCAGATAGGTTAGATTAGATTAGATTAGATCAGACAGACAGATAGATAAATTCACCTGCCCGATAGTAAAGATAAAAACATATAAAAAGGATACTCCCCCCCCCCACACACAAAATTAGATTTAAAAAAATGATATAAAAACACTCAGTGCTTAAAGAGTAGGGATGGAATGGTTTATGAAAACCATCTGAACCGTTCGGTTCGACTGCCTCGGTTCGGTTCGCGTGTGTTGCGTTCAATTCATGCGCTGCTCCTTTTTCTCATAGGCAAAGCGTTTACACTCCAGAGCAGAAGGTGGCGGTACTGCGACCAAAGCCAACCACCAGTAGTAAACAAGAACAAGAAGAAGAAGAAGCAAAGCAGTGTAGCCGGGTGTAGCAGGAAAAAATCAGTTGTTGTGGAGAATTGTGTGGGTATGGCGAGTGGGAAAGAAAAGGAGTTGGAAGACGCGCCAGCAGCACTTTATAGGTCTGCTGTATGGGACCACTTTGCATTTAGAGTGACCTACGATGACAGCGGAAAGAAAGTTGGGGATAAAAGTTCAACAGTGTGCAAGCATTGTGCAACACGTTTTGTTTATGCTAACAGCAACACGACCAACATGTCAGGCTAACAATCAACATATACCGAACCGAAAACCGTGACCACGAAACCGTGAACCGAACCGTGGATTTTGTGAACCGTTCCACCCCTATTAAAGAGTCATTAAGCTGTCGAATGGACAGAAGATCTTCTGTACATGATACAACATCTGCTATCATTTTTAGAAATGTACTTAAGTGAATAAATGAAGTGACATCCTGGTATTTATTTATTTTTTCTTTATTAAAAAGCATAACTTACTAAAGCAGGGCTGTTTGCTACAGATGAGTAACAGACTATTCTGTCTGACCCAATTCAACCATGAATGACAACAGCTGATTTAACTGGGCCATCAGACCTCTGATGATCCTGTAATAAATGCGTCATATCGGCCTCCCTGCTGTAAAATAAACTACATAACATTCTTGTCTCCCCTCTTATCCGGATCGTTGTTTCACTTCATACCTATTTGGCTCTTAGCATGTTTCATTTCTCTGGTGCAGCAGAAAGAGCACATTGTAAACATATTTCTTAATGTTGTCAAAGTGGAGGTTTTAAAGATCAGAATTAAATGGCTGAACCAATTTATTTATTTTTTTAAGAGTGTATTCACCTGAGATCCATCCTACCGGAAAGGAAAGGGGATACCTGTGAGCTTCTTGATAAATGAGCTAGCCCGACACCCGTGACACCCACTGGGAGTCAGGCCCACCCCTTGACCTTCTGACCTACACCAAAAACTGGCCACCAAACCAGGTCCTCCAGCGCCAAACAGAGACATGATGATATGTAGAGAAAATAAGTTAAAACCTCGGCTGATCCAGGGGGATACTTTATCTACTGCTTATCTTCTGCAGCGTCAGAGAGAGACGTCCAATTCTAGACCTCATAAGTTTAATGCTTGAAGCTGACAGCGTTGGTGGGTCGATAAAAGAAAAAAACATCTAGCTACAGCTACACGCTGTATCAGATTCCCAATCAGAGCATTCCCAGCACAAAGAGTTCATTGAGCAGCCAGAGAGTGGCGCATTGTCTCCCAAAGGTTAGTTTCCTTTCGTTGGGGCTACACCTTCCTTAACATTCTGCTCAGGTTAAGTGGAATGCAGGTGACAGCAGAGACAATCGTGGGATATCTGTCGTGATCATCCCAAATAAAAAGCATTGAAGAACATCAAAGGTTTTAGATGGTTTGGGGGTATCAGGTACAGACGGTGTTAATAGACCAGAAATCCTTGCAAATCAGAGCCATTTTCAGCATCATTCAACAAAATGACATTTGTTTAAAGGCAACAACAAAAAAATAACTTATAAGATTTTATCTCTGAAAACTTATTTTATAATCATACAGCAGTGCCCTCATTTTCTGTTTATATTTGAGTTTTTAATTTTCATGTTTTAGCTTCATGAGCTTAGAGTCATTTTGGAGGATCAAAATAGCCTCATGTGGCTCTATGGGTTTCTGACCCCGGTAGTAGCCCAGCAGATGTAGCAAAACTAAATCCTTTCAAACCTTTGACCAGCTCTTTGAGGTGTAAAAGCTGGACAAAAGCAGATAAAAAAAAAACTCTTTTATTAAATATTAAAAGTGCAAAAAGAAAGGTTTTTCCTCCCTACGGTCCCTGGTGCAAATAATTGGCAAAAACACTGAATCTTTTTTAATTCAAGGCTCCGATAACAGGGCTCGATGTTAACCATTGCCTGATCAGTTATTATTGTTGGGAGAGTACAAATTTCATTGCATTTGCCCGCCGGGCAAAAATTATTTATCACTCAAAATTACTTTAAAATCACCAACATTCGATGAAAACAACCCTCAAGTGTTGCCGGCGCCATTTTTGTTGTTTTGTACACATTCTCGCGTGATTGAAAAAGACGGGTGATTTTCCGCCAGATGGCGTGATTTTTGTCCATCTAGCGATAATTCTATGTAGTTACTAAAAACGCCAAACAAGCTAGAAAGCGCTATCATATGGCAGTCTTCTGTACAGTGATGCAGGTCATACATTAAAAAAATGTTCATTAATTTTTTTCTCTCAGACATTGGAGAGGTGCATTTAAATGTTATTCAATTCAATTCAATTCAGTTTATTTATATAGCGCCAAATTCACAACACATGTCATCTCAAGGCACTTTACAGTTCAACCAGATGTTATAGAGCTAAACATATTAAATTGGTGACCTGTTATGTTATTATTATTGTCTTGTTGTTGCATTTATTTTATCAGGGAAAACTGATCCTGAGTCAGTTAAAAGTCAGGGAATTCTGAAATTATGTCAGACTGTGGAAACCCTGTATAAAATAACTGTATAATGATTCTCTAGAAAAGTCACATTATATTAATAGTATTATCTTGTATAAACATACCGTGACTCTAAAATAAAAGTTATTCATTTGTAACATTTACTTCTGTCTTGTGATTTATCTTAAATTCTTAACCTGTCAAGTTTTTATTTTTTATTTTTAACATTTCAATTTATATTTTTCCAAGCACACAACAGTTTAAAGCAAAGTTTAGTTTGAAAAGAATGAGCAGGAAGGATTGAAAAGCGTGTTAACACGGTAATGTAGGATTGAGTTCTTTATCTGACGCATGCATATACACACCAGGAACCGGTAAACTTAAAAAATACTAAATTACAAAAAACATTTAAAAAACAAACATGTTTCATTGATAAATATATACAAAAATGAATATAAGGAATTATATTTATCAAACATTATACTGGGCAAGGAAGAATTGTTTCTGGGCAAATGAAATGTGAAAGTCACTTGGTAAAAATCTTTAACGTCAACCCCTGGATAACACTTCCCAAAAATGAAAGTGTAGATGCCCCATTAAGTCTTTAAAGGTTTTACCCAATACAGAAAAAAACAAAACTGTTAGGGTCTGATCTTTAAATAATCCAATTAAGGAGCTTTAATTACTTTTGCAAAAAAAAAAAAAAACTGCACATGCAACAAGAGGGTGTGTTATGTATTTTCTACACAAATTGTGCAGCAAAGGGTGTGACTTGCAAAAAGGTTTGATTCGAGATCCATTTTTTCCCATCCAATCAGATATGGGATAGTAAACCTCTACTACTATTGAATGAATTAACCTTTTACCCTACCATGTGACTACTGTAAAAGCTTCATGCTTCACAAACACATAAAAACAAAATAAGTCAACAAATGAGCAGATATACATAATCACTAGTGTCTGTGTGTGCCCTGTGGAAATATGTTATTAGTAGAGCTGAAACAGTTGATCAGATTAAATGTGATTAATCGATTATTGAAATAATCCTCAACTAATTTAGTGATCGATTAATTGTTAACTGGAGTATAGAGACTGTAAAATATGTTGTTAACTGACAGAGAAACCCAGTTAGAGCAGTGATTATATCAAAATTGTGAAAAAAAACATTTTGTATTTAGGATTAAAAAAAAAAGTTTTCTCCTTCAATGTGCTCTGTCCAGAACTCCACAAGTGCACAAGTGGAAAAGTTTTAGTTCCACCTGGTTTAATTTCATAAAAAGAAACTTTGTCTATCAGATTATTAATCGATTAATAAAAAAAATAACTTACAGATTCCATGATTTGCAAAATAATTTTTTGCAGGCCTACCTATTAATGTTGCAAACGGAAAAGAATCGTAAAATGAAGATAAGGTTCTAAGTAGGGACGCACGATATAATCGGCCCCCTATCGGTATCGGCCTTAAAACTGAATAAAAAAAAATAAATACTACTTCTTCTTCCTCAAAAACTTCTTTTTTACAGACTTAAAAACTTCTAAAGACGAGGGAAAAAATATTAATAAATTAAAATATCACAATATCTTCATATGCTGATATATTTCCATTTAAAAACACCATATCAATCTCTTTTACTAATGAAATATTGCTATATGTCATCGTTATGCTACGAAATCCCCCAAAAATTCACGAAATGTTGCCATATTTTTATATGTTGATATATTGATGCAGCATCAATCTATTTTACTAATGAAATCTCACAAGAATTTGCAAAATATCACGACAGTTTGTAACAGAACGATGAAATTTCACGAGATTTTGAAAGTAAAATAGATCGATACAGCGTTTTTAAAAATCAATTTGATATCAGCATATGAAAATACACTCACCGGCCACTTTATTAGGTACTCCATGCTAGTAACAGGTTGGACCCCCTTTTGCCTTCAGAACTGCCTCAATTCTTCATGGCATAGATTCAACAAGGTGCTGGAAGCATTCCTCAGGGAGTTTGGTCCATATTGACATGATGGCATCACACAGTTGCCGCAGATTTGTCGGCTGCACATCCATGATGCGAATCTCCCGTTCCACCACATCCCAAAGATGCTCTATTGGATTGAGATCTGGTGACTGTGGAGGCCATTTGAGTACAGTGAACTCATTGTCATGTTCAAGAAACCAGTCTGAGATGATTCCAGCTTTATGACATGGCGCATTATCCTGCTGAAAGTAGCCATCAGAAGTTGGGTACATTGTGGTCATAAAGGGATGGACATGGTCAGCAACATACTCAGGTAGGCTGTGGCATTGCAACAATGCTCAATTGGTACCAAGGGGCCCAAAGAGTGCCAAGAAAATATTCCCCACACCATGACACCACCACCACCAGCCTGAACCGTTGATACAAGGCAGGATGGATCCATGCTTTCATGTTGTAGACGCCAAATTCTGACCCTACCATCCGAATGTCGCAGCAGAAATCGAGACTCATCAGACCAGGCAACGTTTTTCCAATCTTCTATTGTCCAATTTCGATGAGCTTGTGCAAATTGTAGCCTCAGTTTCCTGTTCTTATCTGAAAGGAGTGGCACCCGGTGTGGTCTTCTGCTGCTGTAGCCCATCTGCCTCAAAGTTCGACGTACTGTGCGTTCAGAGATGCTCTTCTGCCCACCTTGGTTGTAACGGGTGGTTATTTGAGTCACTGTTGCCCTTCTATCGGCTTGAACCAGTCTGGCCATTCTCCTCTGACCTCTGGCATCAACAAGGCATTTCCGCCCACAGAACTGCCGCTCACTGGATGTTTTTTCTTTTTCGGACCATTCTCTGTAAACCCTAGAGATGGTTGTGCGTGAAAATCCCAGTAGATCAGCAGTTTCTGAAAGACTCAGACCAGCCCTTCTGGCACCAACAATCATGCCACATTCAAAGTCACTCAAATCACCTTTCTTCCCCATACTGATGCTCGGTTTGAACTGCAGGAGATTGTCTTGACCATGTCTACATGCCTAAATGCACTGAGTTGCTGCCATGTGATTGGCTGCTTAGAAATTAAGTGTTAACGAGCAGTTGGACAGGTGTACCTAATAAAGTGGCCGGTGAGTGTATATTTGAGTATATTATTTTTCAAAGTGTCAGAAATGGATAACAAAACTGCTATTTTCAATGATTACTTATTTTTGTCCAGCTTTAACATCAGTATCGATATCGGTCATCGGCTACATGAGTTTTAAAATATCGGCATATCAGATATCGGCCAAAATCCCAATATCGTGCATCCTTAGTTCTAAGCCATAGACATGGAGGTAATAAGCATATATGTATAATCAAAAAATATAAGATATTTACGATAGTGCACATAAGTGTAATCAAAGTGCTAAAAAAAAAAATTACACTTAAATAATAAATATTAATAAAAAGAACAAAAAAGGGTCCTAAACTCTCCGCACGGTCAGATTTCGTGGGTGAGAAACATAATGAGGAGACATGTCCATCATATTTCAAGCCAATTTTCAGATCTTACCTTTCAGTGTTTGGTACATTTAGGATAAAACATTGACTGGTGTAAAATATATACCTCTGAGGAAGCTCCCGCTGAGGACAGTCCTGGTAGTATCTGATGAAGAACCTCTCTGCGTCTTCTCTCTCCCCTTTGGAAATTGCACTCCCATTTAAAACCATCACGGATGGCAGTCTGGGGAGGGATACGTGGTCATTAAATATTTACATCATAAAGTGTATAATGAAAAGCAGCCATGATGCTAGAAGGAGTGTTTAACTAACTGTGCTAAAAGGAGGCTGCGTCTCTCCTGGGTGCTGTATGTCTGTAATAACGGAATCCCCTGAGCTTTGACGTCCTCCAGTTTAGGAAAGAAGCTCAGCCTTTCAATGTCCTCCCACTTACTGAGACCTGCGTTTGAAAAGGAAAAGGATTTGTTTCCCGCTCTCATTCTTTCTTTGAACCACTCCCTAAAAACTGAACATGCACAGAGAAACTAACCTGAGTTGTTGAGGTTGATGCTGCGCAAGTTGGGGAAAAGATGCTCCAGTGTTTCCTTGGTGTCCCCCACAGAGCTGAGGCCGTTGTTGGCAAGCACCAGTGTGCTCAGACTGGGGTACAGCAGGCCGAACTTCCTGACTTCGGACCAGTCCTGGAGCTGGTTGCCTGTGATCTGCAGCAGGTTCAGTGATGGGCAGGATGCCTGGGATTCTGACACTGTGTCGTAGCCATTCAGGCACAGAAAGAGCTCCTTCAGCCTGGGCAGGGTGAAGAAATGACAGTGCAGAGTGAAAAACCTAAAAATCTTTCAGCACCGCTACCGGGAAAATCTGCATGTGCCTCTCTTACTCTGGTGTGTGCTGTGTGAGTGTGTGCACGGTGTCCCAGCTGACTTGTGTGTTGATGAGGACAAGTCGTCGAACGCGAGAGAAGACGTCGGCCACGCTGGGCTGCAGCTGCACACCACTCAGTGGGTTCATGCTTAGGTTGAGGAAGTCCAGGCGAGGGATGCTGGAAACGATGGTGCTAATCTGTCGGACCACAATTCAAAACAAACACAAATTTGGACCAGGCATCAAACTTTATTATATATCATTCATATTTATGAAGACTCCTATTCCAAGAATTTGATTTTAACTTCATTTTGGGTTCTTCAGAGAATGTTTGGCCTTTTCCAAAAACTATTAAAGCAAAAATATACATCTAAAGAATGGACATGTAATATAAATTTTTAGGAAATATATTTCTATCTTAATTTTCCAATGGTAATGAAGCTATTCATGATTTTAAATGCCCTAAATACAAGACATGTAGGTCTTATTTTGCCAGGACTTTGTGAGGAATTCTAATAGTTGAACTCTGGCAAAGTTCCCAGGAAATCCAAGAAAAATTTTTTTAATCATCAAAGAACATCACAGTTAAGTTCTGGGAAGGTTAATAACATGTTAAAAGAATATATATAGGAAGTTCCCTACAAGATAATTCCTGTATATCCCTGGAAATGGCATGCAAGGTTCATAACTACTAAGATCAGGAAACGTTCCTGTTAAAGGAATAGTACACCCAAAACATGATTAGCCTTCATTTTCTACTCACCCCCATGCTGAACAACACTCTGGAGTACTTTTTTGAGTAGTGTATAGGATTTCCTGAAAGAGCGCACATGCGCGTTCACGACACTACGGAAGCCGGCAGACCAAACCAGCGCATTCAGCTCGGCAAAGAACTCATGCTCTTCCTCAACACTGAAGTCCTCAGACATTTTTCTTTTGTTGTTTCTTTCTTTGCACAGGTAAACAGCACATTTCTTCTTCTACGCTTGCATTATTGGCAGAGGAGAATCTGAATGCGCACTTTCATCTGGTTTGGTCTGCCGGCTTCCGTAGCGTCGTGATCGCGCAGGTGCGCGCTTTCAGGAAATCCTATACACTACTGTTTATGCTCTAAAAACATTCTAAATGACTTTGTTTCGAGTAAATTCTGGATGCTACCCACTCAGGACACTTGGAATACATTGGACGAGCAGTATGGAGGAATATTGACACGTTTTTTGTGGACTTTTATGGACCTTTCTGTCTCGGGCGCCATAGACCTCCATTATTTGAATGTCAGCAGACAGCAAGAAGCCTCCCAGATCTCCAGATGCATTTGAGATATCAAAAAAGTACTCCAGGGTGTTGTTCAGCATGGGGGTGAGTAGAAAATGAAGGCTAATCATGCTTTGGGTGTACTATTCCTTTAAGTTTGAGGAGAGATCCCACCATGTTAGAGGAGTAAAGGAAGGTATTTTTGTTGCAAGAACAAAGACAGTCACAGTTAAATTCTTAGGTAGTTTACTAAGGACACAAAAAAAACATGAGAAATTCTGTACAGTTCTCAGTTTTTTGTAAAGTTTCCAACATCAGTTGTGTTTTTGGAAACTTTCCAGTAGGTTATTCCTGGAAAGTTAATTTGGGGTTGAGGAAAAGGTTCCTGTAAGTTCTAGGAACATAAGTATTAAATGTATAGTGAAGGAGGTTCTTTTTGCGTGTGGATTTTTCTGTCTGGTTCAATGTAAACCAATAAAACCACATGGAAATGTTGAAGGTTGTTTAGAATGGTTTGCACACATTAAGAATAAGATGTTTCGATCCCCTTTAAGCCTTGATATTTAAAGGTATAGTGCAGGATGTTCTTCTTCCAGTTGGAACATCAAAATAAGTGGTCCTCCTAATTGTCAATCATTCTGGTGATATGTTTACGTAAGGCCATCCTACGAGTTTGTCTCCATTTTCACCGTCGGTGAGTCTGACAAAGTGGAAAAATTGCAAATCTTCTTTTGGAAAGTAAGCTTGTATGGGCAATGCAAACAGCAACTTTTAAACAGAGCGTGCACCAGGAGAAATGGGCTCATGCACGCTCTTGCACGCATTTAATAGGCATTCCCTCTCGGAATTGGGTGCAGGGTTGTGCAAGTGCACTTTTTTTTAAAAGTGGAGAGGGCGGGTCTTTTCAAAAATTCAGGAAAATCCTCCACAATACCTTTAAATGAACTTTACTTACTTAACTTTGTGTTTAGCCTTCCTTTTATCTGGAATAAATCTCCTTTTCTCCCATAACCTCCCACAGCCTGAACAGCAGACATCTTCGTATTTATTCTTAGATTACGTTGAAGAAGATGCCAAAGGTCAAAAAGACTGCTGGAATCATTTCGAAAGGCCTGTTAACTTTTCCAAATCCAGCATGTTTTTAATGACAGAAAGCTCAGAAGCGCTCGAGTATTAACTCAGAAACGCTAATTTAGCCTTCCCGTGGTTTTAAAATATAAATTGGAAACAAGTCTTAACATATAAGGGAAGCGCATTTAATGGAAGCACAGCCTTGACATTGTGCCCCGACCCCCCACCCTCCCTATAGGAGGGGTGAGTTTCACCTGAGTTAAGTTGGCCCCCTCACCTCCTTCAAATCAGACAAAATTAGTGTCAAACGTTTGAGCAGCAAAAATTTTCGTTTGTGCCGCTATTGTTTTAAAGATATAAAGAAATACCGTAAATTCTCTAATATTGGCCTGTATTCCAATAGCGGCCGGGTCTCTAACATTGGCCGGTCTAGCTGTCAGAGGAGGTAAATAATGGCCGGTCTCTAATACAGGCCGGGGCTATAAACGTTTTTTCTGGGCATACCTCAACATTATACTTGTGGTAGTAAGTAACATACAAGTACCACAGCCCTGCGCAGCTGGACGACAGGCCCTGAGTGCTGCCCGTCTGTGCGAGGAAGAGAACAGACACGCAGCAGAACAGGAGGAGCGCGAGTGATGAGGAGATTAAAGGGAGAGATGAAGAGGAGGAGGAAACTGAGGAGGAGGATTAAACAGAATTGGAGGATTTTTTATTTTATTTTTTACTTCAAACCAAGCGAGACATGGTACTTTTTCAATAAATGAACCTAGTGTTTTATATGTTCAAATAGACACAAAATCTCATTTTTATTCATTCCACTGGTAGTCTGTTTTGCTCAAATAGCAATAGAGGCCTGTCTCTAATACTGGCCTCTATCCAATAAAGGCCTGGACCGCGATGCACTTGAGTGAAATAAAGGCCCGGGCCTATATTAGAGAATTTACGGTATTTCTAGAGGTCATCGAACGAAATGGGTGTCGATTAACTTAGCTCCGTTTGTGCTGGTTTGTGAAGCAAAAATTTTCGTTTGTGCTGCTTTGGCTTTGAAGATATTAATGAATGAGTTTCAGGTTTTATATAGTAGCCCAACAAAACCTTGTTTTTGTTTTGAAAACATGCAAATTCATACTCAAACACAACGCTACTCCTGACATTTTTAATTGCAAAAGCTTCCTGGATGGGAAACGAAACGTCTTCAAACTTGGAAACAAAGTCCAGTGGATTGTTTTTAATTTTCTTTTTTCAGAAAGCTCCTTGGTGGCTCCATAGAAGTTTCGGGAGAGTTCCCTGTCAGTTCAGGAAAGATGACTGGCAGGTTCTTGAGAAAGCCCTCTGTTAGTTATTGGGAAAACGTACTATTTTTATTCCTAAGGGGTTTAGAATGTGTTGAAGCAGACTCACCTCTCCCCAGTCATTTAACTGATTGTAGGCCAAATCCAGTTCTAGCACATGAGCACAGAAAGCTTCAATATCAGACCTGTTGCCAGCTTTACTGATCCCACAGTCATTCAGAACCAGAAAGTTGGGCAAGAACAGACGGTCTGTAACCAAGGAGAACAAAAGTTGGTTCATGTAGAACTTTCAATCAGGTATAAAATATTAAGGCCTTTTCCGTTACCTTTAACAGGGGATCCTGGAGGGCTGGGCAGAACCACCACACCTTGGCCATAGGGGAAGTTCTCTGGGTTATACTTCTCACTGAGGACCCGGATGAAGGTGCGCTCCTCCTCTTCATCAGAGGAATCCATGGCTCAGCAGCTTCAAACGCATCCAGAAAAGATAAAAATGGGAATTCTCCTTGGATATAATTACCCAGTAAGTGCAGCTAAAGTCTGCTGTCATTTTTTTTGTGATGTTTGAAGGTTAGACATGATGTCAACCAAGAATTTCTTTTGTCCTGATCAGAAGCTCTCAAACTCAACAAGGAAACTTAACAAGAAAAAGTTTCATAAGTTTTCGTTTCAGAGCTGTAACACAAACACACAAAATTCTGACTTTAAATAGTGATAAAGGATGCACAAAGTTTCATGTTTTAAAATTACCAAGCACATAAGGCAAATACAGCTGCTTTTTGTGTCTCTGCTTCTGTCTCCTTGAACCCCAGTCGGCCTCGGCAGATGCCTTCCAGCCGCCGCAGCAAACCGCAACAAGACGACCGGGCCAGAGGCTGCTGTTGATTGGTAATCTGGATGAACTGACTGCACAGACCATGTTTTCAGGTGGACTTTCTCACTTCAAAACAGATTCAAACTACTTTTTACCCAGTGATCACAGCAGATATAGCTACCATTGTTACAGGCAAAGAAAGGATGGGGTAGCTCCACCCAACGCGCATTAGATCCACTGTTTCCACCGCGCAGCCAGGGCAGCAAAGATGCTTCAGCCGCGAATCAGAACTAAACTTGTACAAGTATCAAAAATGAAGCAGAACGCGAGTTTTTGCTGCTCCTGCTGCTTTAGGTGTGAACGTAGCATAACAGTGGCTAGCTTCCAGCCATGGCGTCCTGCACAAGCAGGACAAATCTACCCATTTGTTCATGTGTCAGGGTACGGGCACAGGGGGGAGGGACAAGCAGATGACCATGATTGACGTGTCAGGAACCAATCGTGTACAACGGACCGTCTTTTGTGCTTGGTTGAGGTATACATTAATTTCTCACTGTATTTATTTCAGTTTCACCTCCAGACCTTTTATTTCACTGCTTGATAAGCGGCTGTGGGGAGATCTTTAAGCCACATGGTAAAAAATGCGTCAGAAAAGATCTCCTACTGCATCTTTCAGGAGGATAATCATTAAAGCAAAGCAGCTGCTTTGTGGGAACTGAAACCCTGCAATACATTTAGAAAGTCCAAATACTGTTATATATTTAATAAATCACAGAAACATCAATATGAAAATTATAAAATACTATATTTTTAATACATTCCAGCAATAATTAATAATTTTTAAACTTTAAAAACCCTAAATATAGCTTATATTTTGATCTGTCAGGCTCTGTCATAGCTTAGAGGTGCCTTTGCACCAACACAACAATGAGGGCTTTATCATCTGTTTCCCTGCAGATTTGCCTGCTGAAACGTCCTCAGGGTTAGAAGAGCACCAACGGCTTTCCTTTAAAGTTATTATAAACTGACACAAAAGGTTGTGCACGGTGCCTGCACACAGTATAAAGGAGGAAACACTGGAGCTGCTCAGCTAAACAACCACAGCCCTTTACAACAATAGGAAAACAAAGCAGGTGAAGAAATATATTTAAATTCATCCATCAGTTTAGCAACCCCACGGACATATTTATCTTGATAATTTTTTTTTTATCATAATTTTTTGCTCAGCACTCATGACAGTACAGAATCTTTGCTCAGATTTCAATTTCCTGATGACCTTTGACCAGCTTCACATGGGTCACCTATTGTCCTGATGAAACCTTAATGCTACGTTCACACCGGACGCAGCAGGAGCAGCAAAATCGCGTCTGCTGCTACCTTTTTGCTGCCTGTACCAGTTAATTCTGACGGGCAGCTGAAGCAGCTTTGCTGCTCTGGCTGCGCGGTGAAAAAGTGGGTCTGACGCGCGTTTTGCGGAGCTTCACTTACCTTTCTCTGCCAGCTATATTTGCTGTGATCAGTGGGAATAAAGTAGTTTTAATATGTTTTTAAGTGAGAAAGTCCACCTGAAAACTTAATCAGTGCAGTCAGTTCATCCAGATTACCATCCTGCCTTCTAATATTATTTCTGTCGGAGGCGCTCAGACCCCCACATACCAGCGGTGCGCTGTCAGTAGAAATCCCATTCAACAGCAGCCTCTGGCCAGGTCGCCTCCTCGCGGTTCACCGCGGCGGCTGATAGGTGGTTTTTATCAAAATAATCCAAACTGCAGGCACCAGGATAATAAAAGCGAACATTTTCTGCCGGCAGATTTCTGCATTTTAAGTTAATTTATGCGTCAATAAACTGTTTCAGAGGAGTGATCACAGCGCTCTGTGTCATCAGCGATGTGTCTGTCTCCCTGCCAGCTCCCAGATCAGCTTCTCTGATTGGTTGACGCGGCGGGTCGAGCAGCAAAAGTTAAAATTTTCCATCTCGAGCAGCGGTGCGTTTGCGGCGCGTCACGCGCATCAAATGCTTAAACACGCCCGACGCGCTGCTTCAACTGCTCAGACGCGTTGCGCCTGCTGCTCAAAACGTGCTGCGGGACCTTTTGCTGCACCTTGACGCACGTCAACCATTGACTTTGCATGTAAACTCGCAGCTTCTGCTGTGCCTGCTGCGTCTGGTGTGAACGTAGCATAAGATATACAGAGGGGGAGAGTAAAGGTGAGTGATGATGGTGGACCTCTGATGTGAACACAAAGTTGTGTTTAAATCCACTTCGTAAAATGTGATTCAACAGTGAAGAACACGTGCCATGACCTCCATCCTGGAGAACCCTGCTACCTAAAGACCCCCTGCTCCTTACCTCAGATGTAGATCAGAGGAAAGAATGTTTTCAACAGCTCAGCAAATTCCAGTTCCCATCCTTGCTAAGAGGAACAAAAAGAGAGGGGGAAAAAAATAAAAAAATCAAGATATAGGTTTATTTTTAAGGTTCAAATGAAAATGGATGTAGTTGGGCTCATTATACATGATAACAAAGAAAACACAGATCAAATGAGCTGCACATTAGATTATTTGAAGCCTGTATTAAATGACAACAAAAAGTTAAAGTAACATCTGTGCTCTCGCTGTAACTAAAAAAATAACAAAAAAACAATGTATATGGAGTTAAACAGCCTGCTCCCTTTTAAAAAAGCAGGGGCACATTAAGGACGTTTTCAGTCAGGACACCATTAATTTCAGGGTGGCAAAGCATAATGACAAACAAAAACAGAACGTTAGGAGTTCTATAGTAGATATGTTTTAAGAACACACACACTAAAAATTAGCTTATTCTGACAACTGGTTTACTGTGATTTATTACTTTGACCTAATTGAGTTCTACTGCAATCACTTCTAGGTAGGGTTCTCTAATAAAGCAAGGCACGCTTTTTTTTGTAAAGCACAATTAAGTAAAAATAAAAATCTAAATGCTTTACATAAATTAAACTGAAAAACAGCAGCAAAATAAAAGCAAGTGAAAAAAAAAAACCAGAAAGTAGGGCAAATAAAACAGTCAGACCACAAAATAATGATACCTCAGTTAAGAGTCAAAGGCAGCTCTAAACAAATGGGATTTTAACTTTGATTTAAAAGAACTTAGACTTTCAGCTCTTTTACATTCGAATAGAAGTTTTTTTTCCAGATAAATGGAGCATAGGAACTAAATGCTGTTTGGTTCTAGTTCTGGGTGTACAAAGTAGACTGGAACTAGAAGACCTCAGTGGTCTGGGAGGTTGATCCACTGACAACAAATGTGCTATATTTAGTTGATGATCCATTTGGTGATTTATAGACTAGTAGGAGGACTTTAAAGAGTATTCTCTGAGCTACAGGGAGTCAGTGGAAGAACTTTAGAACTTACAAAAGAAGTAAAAAAAAAACAATCCACTAGACTTTGTTTCCAAGTTTTAATTTCCATCCAGGAAGCTTTTTCAATTCAAAATGTCAATTGATTGAAAAAGCTTCCTGGATGGGAAGCAAAACATCTTCAAACTTGGGCAAAGTAAAGTGGATTGTTTTTTTTTTACTTTTTTGGAATGACTATGACCTGGATGACTGAGAATCTTCACCAGCGACTTCAGAACCTGATGCACTGGAAAAAGGATCTAGAAAAAAGTAAAAATTTCTTAAATTAAGTGTATTTACCCTTGATTTGAGTAGGTAAATGAGATACTTTGCCAATGGAATCAGTATTTTTACTCTTAAAATGAGATAATTAGATAGTATTCACTTGAAATAAGAGAATGGAATTGTGATTTCTTATTTTAAATCTAAATTGTCTTGTTCCACTGGCAAGGTGTCTCTTTTATCTCCTCAATTCAAGAACAAATGCACTTATTTTAAGAAAAAATTACTTATCAAGATATAGTTTTTTGCAGTGTGTTTTCTACTTTCTTCATTCTAGTAAGAACACTGGCAGCAGCCATTTGGATCAGCTACAGCTGTCTGATGGACTTTATAGGCAAACCTATGAAGACACTGTTGCAGTAATCAATTCCACTAAACATAAATGCATGGGCGATTTCTTTCTAGATTCTTACCTTATGGTAATTGGCTATGCTGTTTGAATATCTTTAAAAAAATAAACTTTACTGACATTGTAATGTACAAACAGATACATGCTTATCTTTAAAAGGAAAACAAAAATGTATTGATTATTTTGTTAAACACACACAGTAGTTGCTTTTCACAGTAAAAGTTAAACTTTAAACATCGCTCTCTGCTGCCCTCTAAAGAGGGCCACTGGTATTGTATATATTTCAAATATTTTTCTTCCTTTTTCATAAAACAATAGCAAGCATCGACAAATAAATAAGACCGAAAAATACATCTGATATATAATCTAAAGTAAGGTAATATATTCATTGTGCTCTTTTAAATTTATTGGTGAAAAGCAATTTTAAATTAAATTGTCGTTTTTTTCTGCAGAGTTTGGCGAATTCGTCTCAATTCAGCCAAGCAGAGGCTGTTGGGATTTGGAGGACGGAGGCAGACTAAATAAGGCTGTTTGTAACAAATACAACCAAGAGTGAAAACGGAAAAGCCCAGAGCAGAACATTCGGCTGTTTCTAGAAGGAAACGGGCCATAAAAACTGCAACATGCGAAGACAAAGCGCATCGGCACACTCAGTACTTTGGTGGTTTTCTCTTATCTCCAGGCTGATAAAGGGGGAAACATATCGGTGGCTACTGAGGTTCACACAGTTTCTGGGACATATGCACTGATTATATCGTCCAGAAACGTTTAGGTTAGTAATCAGCCCACTCACCGTCCACCGAGCCTCACAGCCTTCGGTTTGTTTTTGTTTTTCTTCGGTTAGTTTGACAGATTAAGACACGCCCACTCCAGCGGAAGTGACGTTGTTTAAACGTCTCCTTTTCTAAAAACATTGAGATGAGGGAAAAAAATTAAACTGTTATGTATGATGGGGTATTAGGGCCATACGGAAGAGGATTAGGGCCACTGAAAAAAAAAATACTGATTTTTAAATGTTATCTAAGTTTAATATGGGGAAATAGTCAGAATTCTGAGATTAAAGTCAAAATTTTGACTTTAGTCTCATAACTCTGACAGCTAACAAACATGTTAGCATCAACCTGTAGCCATGTCTGTTTTAGAAACTAACTCTCTTGTTTTAATCACCTTCTGCTCTTCCATTAATGAAATAGCATCACCGGTGACCCTCAGACACGTAAAAAGTCTCCTAATTCCGTCATTTTCCACTAATGTGTTACTGGCCCTCTCAAACAACGCACATCTCTGTCAGTGAAGCTGAGTGCTCCCACATCTGTTCCTTCATGGTGCCCACCTACATTAAGATCCAAAATTCTGAGATTAAAGTCAGAATTCTGAGATTAAAGTCAGAATTCTCAGAAAAAACTTATTGCCTGGCCACCCTTATAAAAATTTTCTGGCTACGCCTTTGTGCTCCACATTCCATATTTTAGGGAAGAAAGTGCTTCTTGCAAGACTTGTCATAAATACAACTTGTTTCTCGTAATTTTAGGACTTTATTCTCTTAATATTATGACCTTATTCTCGTAAGAGGCGCTGCCAGGAACTTGTGGCCCCATGAAATACATTGATATTTGGCCCCACCAAAAAAAATGTATGTAAGCTTTTAAACTTGTTAGGACAATTATCATTGAAGATGTGTGAGTTTATTACACCTTGGTATTGGCTGCCTGTTGCAGTATCAGAACTGATGTTTTAATCTAAGTAAGACAGTTCCTCTATTTGGATGTACTTCATTCTGCATGTGGTAAAGATTTGGAAATGGAACGAGAGCAGTGTCCTTCAGCTAAGAACGAAGTATAATATTTTCATAAGGCTGGAGCCATGGATGTCTAATCATCTGCTAATGTGTATGATGTAATGATGTGATGGTGTGGCAGACTGGAGATGTATAAAATGCCTTATAACTGTTGATCAGGGACACTTTCTGAGAGGTGAGCAGCTGCCATTCTGTAAACTCTAAGCAATTTCTCTGATCTGAGTAAGATTACAATTTCTATCAGAATCTGTTGTCATGTCTCCTGGTTATTTAATACAAATAATTTATTAAGTGTTTTTTAAAGAGTTTGTCCCGAGTGATCTTTTTTCAGGGGAAAGAACCGGAGAGATAGAGCTTCAAGGTGCATACACCGAGCCTATCTGAAACTGTATAAAGATGCATTGATTTGTTTCATTCATTATCACTTTTCATTCAAAATGACGCACATAAAAACAATTTATTTCATTATGGGATTTTCTTTTTATATTTGAAAAGTATAGCGGGACAAATCTTGTCTTCTTCTTTTGGGGCCCCCCCTCACTCAAGGGCCCTTAGAATCTTCCTAACTATACGACGCCCCTGATTCTCTTAATGTTACGACTTTATTCTCAAAATAGAAGAAAAAATAAACTCTAGCCTGACCCTAATACTCCGTCCTAGTTATGGAATAGAACAGGGAACAAGTTTTTCACGTAAATCATAACTCCTTTGAATTTGTGTTTCTATAATGTCTTTATGAATGGCTCCTTTTAAGGTTTAAGGCAACATTCCAAGCTTTTTTGGAAATGTATTTTATTAAAAACAAATTTAGTTAAACATGTTAGCTAAATCAAAATTCTAATTAGCACAACTTGAAGTTCAATCAGGTTCACTACCCCACAAAACACTTTAGAACCCTTTTTAATTATGAGTCAGCATCTTAATAATACAACTTCTTGCCAGTAGATGGCAGCATGCAGGGCCGGCGATTGCTATAGGCGAGCTAGGCAATTGCCTAGAGCGACAAATGTGTTGGGGGCGCCCTCTAGCGTCGCCCTTAGGCTTACTTCCCATTAATCATAGAATTAGAAAAAAAAGCGAATTAAACCGGTTATGAAGCGTCCGTCAGTTTGACTTAACCTTACGTATATATAAATAGCAAAATATGAACAAATAAATATACCACAGTTTTATTTTTTATTTTTTCACATTTAAGAGAAAATCTGAAAAGATTCTGATCACTTTTCAAGCGCCCTCCAACCCGGAAGTCGTGACGTCAATCACTGCAGCATGTCCACCAATGTTTTGGAATGAAATTGTAAGCAAACAGATATTAAAAGTAAAACAAGTGAAGTCTGGCACTTAACTTTGCTCGCGACTCGAGAATGGCTGAACGGAAAAGACTCCTCCTACTCCTCCTCCTGCCGCCGCAGTCGGGCCCGTCTTAATCATCCACTCAGAGTACCACTGGTTAGCGCGCACACAGACTTTGTAGCTTGTCCGGTCAGTTAAAAATATTAATTATGAAATCCGTCTTGTAATCGGAAGCATACAAGCTAGTTAGCTTGAAAAGTAAATAAAGTTTCAGACGTGCTGCGTGATGATGTGTTCAGATTGGCTCAGTAAAATGACAATTAGGTTATCATGATGCGTTCAAGTGTAACGTAAAGAAAACGGGAAATTTTGTTTTTGGCGAGAAACATGAGTAATACAGTTGTATATTGCTCTATATATAATTAAACTACTGATGCCAACATTTATTAAAAATTACATTTAATTTAAAATACAATTATTTATTTGTTAAATATTTTCCTAATCACTAAAAACATGATGAAAAGTGACAGTAGACAATACATTAACCAACAATTGTGAAAATATATTCTAGTTAGTTTTATGTCATTTCGAAGTGGCCTATTACATTAGCCATGTTTATTGAAGGCTAGAAACGTTTTTGTTATGCTCACTTGTTAAGCAATAGAAGCAATACCAGTTCTGTTAAAATTTTGTTGCATCGTCTTTCCACCAAATAACAGAAAAGTATCGATAGTGGTAAAGACTCGGATCGATAAGGAGTATCGATAAAGGTATCGATATCAATAAATATTAACGATCCCCATCCCTAATGTTGACATCATTTTTTTCTCAGTATATATGCAGCAGAATTATGTGCTATATTATTAGCTTGAGAATGGGTAGAAGATACTAATATAAATAAAATATTTTGTTGTGATTATCTGCATTGAGTATTCAAAAGGGATGTACAAATAATCATCAAAATATATGAAGTTATGGCTGTTCATCATAGAATATGTGAACAAAAAAAAAAACAACAACTTCAAACTTTTAATTTTGTAATGGTATTCATAAAAGCACTTTTGTTTGTAGAGGGTTAATCCTTTCTTTAATCACTAATCAATGTCAGAAATCAGGGTAAATATACCTGATATATTTTATTTAGAGGAAAATTTTGTTTATCTCATTTCTATTTATGTTCAAATGATTTAATTGAACTGGAACAGAAAATTTAATTTAATGTTTATCAATTACTTTTTTATGTAGTCCTTGGTTGAAGAATTTCTTAAATTTATAATTTTTTATTGTTATTTGGTAATTTCTGAAATTGATTTATTTAATATTTGTTTAATGTGTGTTAAATTTGTTAATTGTCTGAAATAAATTCATTCAATGATTCAATCCAGTTTTTTAGTTATACTTTACCTAAGTGTCCTTACAGATGGTTAAAAGTGTTTTTGCACAGTCCTAACTTTGAGTGTGTAATAAATTATTTAAAATAATAAAAAAGAAAAGGTACTGAAACCTATTCTGGTATTTGTCTATGCATCACTCCATGCTAAGTTACAGTTTTTTCTGAATGCTTAAACACAACCTTGATTCTTATAGCACAATTTCTAAAACTATTAATACTTATAGCAAATCCACTCACTGAGTTCACAAAACTAAAAGAACAAACACTGCTTTGCACTCAATTTGCAACTCAATGAAGCACAAAACAGATGCTGAAAACAGTACTGGTATTTCGCAAGGCAAAAGTGTGTGTGTCGCCTAGGGCAACCAAAAGGCTAGAACCGGCCCTGGCAGCATGGTATCATGAACAAATAAATGCACTGTCATGTTTAATTCCTTTTTGATATCTGAGATCTTAACAATTTGATTTTTACAGGAAAAAACAACAAACTACTCTATTAATTTTAATTTTGCATGGTTTTCAATATTTTTTATGTTGAAATTTAAAGGAATGTTGTGCATTTTTATTCAACCCTCCAGTGTCAGTAATATTCTTTTTCTACTTGTCCAGCTGCAGGTTCTTTAGAGATTTGTCTCTACGGCATTTAATATCTACTAGCTGGACAACTTTACTTACTCTTGTAGTAAAACACCCCAAACACAGTCAGATTTAAGGGGTAAAATCTGTGATCATCAAATTAAAACTCAGTCACAGATTCTACATTAGTCTTAACCATCCTGTTGTAATTTCAGTTGCACATTTAGGGTGTTTTTTCTGCTTGAAGATGAAAGTCCATCCTGTTTTAGTCTTGGGCTTCCTATATTTTCTTCCAGAATTAAACTGGATTTACTTCCATCTATCTGTTTTATCAACTCCGACTCACCTCCATATCCCTGTTAAAGGGAAAAGCCTCTCTACGGCATGGCGCCTCAGCTACCATCACTGAAAAGTAATAATAGTAGAATTTTCCTGAAGATACTGAGTATAAATCTGAAAAGGCTCTAGAAAATATTATTTCTGAAGAAAATAAATGTTCACAAAAATTTTGGGTTACTATTGTAGCCATTAGCTGGAAATCATGTCACTGCTTTTTACCTGGAAAGCCACCATGTGGGGACTCTTATAACTGACCTGGGGACTATTAGGCTAATCCTCATGCTGCTATCTCAGAGCAGGGATTAACTAGCATAATTAGTTGTACCTTAAATGAGAAAAATCAGAGGCACATGAATCAAATAGTTTATGTTTCTGAGATTATTTGTAGCCGTAAAGACTCTGATGAAAACAGAAATAATAATAGAGTCAGCGGGACACTCAGCCCAGAAAGAGCAAGGGGAGAGTGG